AAAGACGCCTGCTTCTTGGGAGGAAAGCAATGACAAACCTAGACAGCATCTGAAAAAACAGAGACATTACCTTGCCAACAAAGGTCTGCATAGTAAAGCTATGGTTTTTCCTGTAGTGATGTATGGAGGTGAGAGCTGGACCATAAAGAAGGCTGACCGCCGAAGAATTGATACTTTTGAATTGTGGTGCTGGAGGGGACTCTTGAGAGTCCCCTGGACTGCAAAGAGAACAAACCTATCCGTTCTGAAGGAAATCAACCCTGAGTGCTCACTGGAAGGACAGATCCTGAAGCAGAGGCTCCAATACTTTGGCCATCTCATGAGAAGAGAAGACTCCCTGGAAAAGACCCTGATGTTGGGAAAGTGTGAGGGTAAGAGGAGAAGGGGATGACAGAGGATGAGATGGTTGGACAGTGTCATCGAAGCAACCAACATGAATTTGACCAAACTCTGGGAAGCAGTGGAAGACAGGAGGGCCTGGCGTGCTCTGGTCCATGGGGTCACGAAGAGTTGGATACGACTAAATGACTGAACAACAAACAACAAAAATGTTCGCAACAATGTCCACGATAGGCTCGCCCCAGTTGGGGACTAGCTGAGCAGGAAAGTTCCCACTAGTGCATGAAAGTCATCATACGGAAGAATCCGGTGGCCAATAAACCATTCCCTTATGAGTCTGGACAGGTAGAGGAAGCTGAGGGACTTGGTTCTTCTCCATTTGTTCAGGTAATGCATCACCGTCATGTTGTCCATGGCGATTTGGACAGTACAACCCTGTACTCTGAGAGTGTCAGAGAGATGTATGCATCAAGTTTGGGCTGAAGCATGTCAAAACTGCTGTCCAGGTTTCCTGTCTGCTTTTTTGGAGAAGGCTGTTTGCTTGCATTTTGCAGAGGAGGAGGCTGGGGTTAGGTGCTGGTAAGTTGACCAATCGGAGGTCTTGAACCACTCAGATGGTGACTAGTAATGAGAGTATGACAGGGATCTCATCCAGTGAGGGCGGAAGTGAGAAGTTATTGGGTGGTAGGTGTTTATGCTCATTTTCTTTGTGTTCTGAAGACTTAGAGGGCTTTGAAAATGGCAAGAAGTCTGAGGAAATTGATGTGATGTGTCCTCTTGTGTGCACACCATGTACCCTGTACCTCTCTGTGGGGACAGTGAGCCCCCATCCCATAGTGCAGTCATCTAACTATGAGATGGGAGAGATGTGGTTGCTGAAAATGGACACCAAGGTGAAGGCGGTGTCCGGTTGTCCACCAGCTAAGTTGTTTCCTGAAGTGGGGTGAAAGAAACAGTTTTTTGTCTGGTGGGTTCCATTTGTCATTGTAGGCCAAAAGGTAGAATGACTGCAGTGGCCGCATCGTTAGCCTGGAGTGGAGCAAGACTGCCGTAGTAGACAAAATGAGGCCTATCACTCGTTGGACTGAGTGTACCGACACGTGTCGAGCATGAATCAGCTTTTGAGCAGACCAGATGGTCTGCCATGCTCTGATTTCTTCATCATTTCTGATAGTGGGGAAGACCAAGCAATAGACTCTACATCCAAGGCTGTACATACAGGACTGGCTAACCATCTGAGTGGTAAAAATCATTCTGGGAGGAGGAATCTCTCTCTCTCTTTTTAGGCAGAGAAGAGAGAGCAAAGGAGAAGGAAGAAAGGGAGAAAAAAGGCAGAAGACTTATCAAAAAGAAACGAAGGTAACTGAATTGAGGTTATGGAGCTGTCTGTGTGCTCTTCCAGCGGCAGACAAAAAAGGACTGAGGAAAGTGGTGCCATACTTGCATGGTATAAGCTAAGGCACTTTAGTTTTTTTAGGCTCTGGAACTTTTGAAAATGGTGTCGAACAGGCACATGCACCCAACTTGTGTGCATACATGAACACCACAGAAAAGAACAGATGCCATATGCTCAGATGTCAGTATGACTGAGAATTGGTTCAGTGCTTATGAGTTCCTTGTGAGAAAGAGGGAGGGAAGTCTGCTTCTTTGGAAGACTTCTCTCTTGTCTGACATGTTGATGATGCCACAACAGATACAATTTATCCTATTGTTATTTTTGAAAACCCTTTTCTGAAACAATAGATTTAGGTACGACAAAGCTTTCAGATTTGGATGGGGGGGGGAAGGAATGATGATTAAGAGTACTGACCAAAATGGGGAAGATATCCACACAGCCATTCCTACTGAAGGGTTGAAACTTTGAAAATGGTCAAAACAGATAAACCTATAGTACTTCATCAACATAATAATACCTTTTTCTCCCCAGTTTACTTGAGAGGAAAGTAGACTACCTTTACACTTGATTTATTGTGATATTTTTGAAGTATTTCTTTATTGATTTTTTAAAGTAGGGAAAGATGCATCTCCCATGTCCCTCATAATCAAAATGTAGCGAAAACCTTTCACTATACTCCTTAAATTTGGCAGGACATACAACAGCTAAATTAAATACAAAGAGGGGACTTTGTGCAATTTAAAAATTTATCCCTGCTCAATGAGCTCTTTGTAAGTCTTCAGTTAATATGGTCCACACATTTTCAGAGTAAGAATTGGCATGGAGAGTGTGAAGAGCATATGAACAGTTCAGGAGACATGAATTCAAACCTTCACTCTGTCATGGAAAATCACAGAAAAGCAGCAATGGTTAACCACTCCCGGAACATCTCACATAACTCAAAAATCCTATTAGATCTTGTAAGTCAGATATGATAAAACAACACATAATAATAACTACAACAGTGGATCTACTCTTGGTGGGATTAGTGATAGGATCAGAAGATTTTTTGTTCACCTCTTTAACTGGTAAGTATAGAAATCCACATTTATTCACTGGACTAGAGTAGTGCTGAATTTCTCTGCAAATATGTCTGAAATTTTCTTTACAATGGACCTGCTAGACAGAAGAATCCAGTTTCAGATGTACTCACCCAGATGGCTGAGGGCATCCTTATCCCAGGGCCAGGTGCCAGCGCCTGCCAGCTCCTCTTGGACAGAGCTGGCAAAATAAACATTGAGGAATTGAGTGCTGTTCAGCTGGAGTGCCTCCTTCAGCTCCTTTACACTCATGTATGCCCTGTAGAAATGGGAAGCAAACCACACTAGCAATACTATTACTACTACTATTACTGCTGCTGCTACTACTACCACCCCCACCCCCACCCCCACCACCCCCACCACCACCACCACCACCAACAACAATAATAATTAATAATAATAATAAAGTTTATAATTCATATAGTCATTTCCTCAAGGGAAGAGCTATGAGGTCCCAGTGTCATGATAAGAGCATTTTCAATGGTAGTTGTCTGGGAGTGCTCAAAGCTGTACATCTTCCATAAGAAGACTCAACCATCTAGGACGTCAAGGGTAGCTGTTTGTTGCCCAGGAACAAAATGTTTTCAGGGACCAACCACAGGATTAAGAGCATAGAATAATAGAATCATAGGATAGTGAAGTTGGAAGGGGCCTATAAGGCCATCATGTCCAACCCCTGCTTGATGCAGGAATACAAAATCAAAGGATATATGTCAGAGTTATATAAATTTCTCTTGAATGCCTCTGGCATTGGAGCACCCACCCTTAAGGTAATTGGTTCCACTGTCTTACTGCTCTAATTGTTAGGACATCTTCCTGATATTTGAATGAAACCTGGCTTCCTGTAACTTGAGCCCATTGTTGCATGTCCTGCAATTTGGGATGATAGAGAACAGATCCTGCCCCTCCCTGCATGACAGCCTCTCAAGTACAGTGGTGCCTCGACTTATGAACTTAATCCATTCCAGAAGATGGTCATAACTCAAAATGGTCATAAGTCGAAGCATCATTTCCCATAGGAATGCACTGAAACGCGATTAATCTGTCCCAGCTGTTTTTTTGGTCGTATCTCAAGGCGCAAGTCGCAAGTTGAAGCATTTGTTCCCATAGGAACTAATGGAAAAGCAGTTGATCCATCCACTACTTTTAAGGGGAGACTTTTTTTAACCTATGATGATTTAGGTTAAAAAGGGGCAGGAAAGGAGGGAGGGAGGGAACAATGGAGAAAAGAGGAAAGAAAAAACAAAGGTCATCACTGGGGCACACAGACCCCTCAGACAAAGGTTTGTGCTTTTAAGCACAAAAAGAGGAGAGAGAGAGAGAGAAAAGACAATGGGGGGAGAGACTTTGGAGTCTAAAACACATTTTAATCCCACATTTTAAACCAAAACCTTTTAAACCAAACACCTTTTAAAACAAATGAGAGGTCACAGTATACAAACTCTAGGAGCCAGAGAATATTTTTTAAAAAACATTCTAGCAGGGACTAAAAATGCTACAATTACATCAGAGCACAGAAACATAACCCCCCCAAGCCCAAACCCACACTGCAAAAACCGTATACATACCATCATTACCCAGAACAGGCAGTCTCTCTGTTTAAAAAAAGAAAGTCAAAAAGCAAAAATCCAAAAAAGCAAAAATGAAAAAATACAATACAGTACAATGCAGTATCAGGCAGTCCAAAGTCTCTCTCTGAACCCACACTCTCTAACCCCTTGGTCGAAAGACCTACAGAGAAGCAGCCTCTTCGCTGACCAATGATTAACTGAAAGCAGTTTAAATTCCCTGCCTTCCCCGCCTTTTCTTTCCGTTCGTAACTCAAAGCGCCAGTTGCAAGTTGAAGCAAAATTATGTGGGTGGAGCTGGTCATAATTCAAATTGGTTGTAAGTCGGGTCACCACTGTATTTGAAAAGTGTTATTGTATCACCCCTCAGTCTTCTTTTCTCAAGGCTAAACATGCCCAGTTCTTCCAGTCTTTCCTCAGAGGGCTTGGTTTCCATCTCCCTGATCATTCTTGTCCTTGTGATGATTTGTGTTTTTATGTGTATTAGAATGGGATATGTAGTCCTAAGATTGTCCCAATAGCATCCATCTTGATTTAATGTCTGTGTCTGTGGTAGGAAAATTTTACATGTTGTTTCAGAGAAGCTTCGTTCTCTGGTTATCTAGTTGCTAAGGAGAGCCAGAGAGTTACATTCCTGGTAGTCATAATAATTCTGCCACAAGACATGGTAACAATTCAAGCTCCCATGAGAAAGTTAGGCGGGACAACAAGACCCAGGAGGGGGTGTTCCTTATGAGGCATCCTGGGAAGTAGAAGGAAGTTGGTAGGAGTTGAAAAAAGATGGAGTTTGACTGAGAAAGGACAGACATGTGCCTTTTCCCAAAATGGATTATAACTTTTGAATGGAGCCTTTTTGCAAAATAGACTTTTGGATTACAACTGGAATCTAACCTTTCATGATGGACTATGGAGTCACAGGATACGTAAGAAAGACAACACCTATGCATAATTCTAGCTTAGTATGTTTTCTTGTGTTATTTTTCTTAGCTGGAGTTTGTGGGGTGGTCTGTCTGACTTAATATGGAAATGTTACTGACTAAATTACTTTGCTATAATCTGAATTCTGTTTAGAACTATCTTTCTGAATAAAAGCAATAATGTTTAAGATTGCATGCATTGATCTCTTGTACAAACTAGCCTAACTAATTGGCCACAAATATTTTGCTACCATATAGAGCCCAGATTAGCCTGAGTGTAAACTCATGGATTGTCTGTGTTTGTTGCTTTTTCTTAACCAAGGGTATGGACTTGAGGAAGGAGAGTTAGTCAGGGCCTGGCTGAGAAATTGGGCTCATCTTAGCTAATAAGGACTGGCTAAACTCTGAAATCTCTCCATCTCTGGCACCCCTAAATCTCATTGGAGACGGGGGATTGCTTACAGTCCTCCTCCAAACTTCTTCCAATTTAACAACATCCTTCTTGAAGCGTGGTGTCCAGAACTGGAAACAATACTCAAGGTGAGGCCTAACCAGGAGCTAACACCTCGCAGGATTTGGAAACTATACTTATGTTTATGTAGCTGAAAATAGCATTTGCCTTTTTTGTAGCCACATCACACTGTTGGCTTATATACAGCTTGTGATCTACAGTGACTCCAAGATGCTTTTTGCTTGTAGAATTGCTGAGCCAGTATCTCCCATAAACATGTGTTTGGTTTCTTTGTCTGAGATGCAGTACCTTGGAAAAAGGTACTGCACCTTTTCATTCTGTTGAATTTCATTCTGTTGTTTTCAGCCCAGTGCTCCTGCCTACCAAGGTCCTTATGAATTTTGTTTCTGTCTTCCAGGATATTAGCTATTCCACCCAATTTTATGTCATCTGCAAATCTGAAAACATCTGCACTCCCTCATCCAAGTCATTAAGAAAAATGTTGAAGAGCACCAGACTCAGGACTGAACCTTGATGTACCCACTTGTTATCTCCTCCCAGTTGGAAAAGAAGCTATTAATCATCACTCTCTGAGTACAATTCTGTAGCCAACTGTCTGTCTATCTGACAGTTGATCTATCGGAGGCGGAGCTTGTCACTGCACTGTTTGGCTGCACTCGGGTGAAGCTCCTGAGGAATGCCGAAAACCGACCAGCTTGGCACCCTTAAGGGACAACAAGGGTGGAGGAAGAGCTAGGAGAAGTTCTTCTGGACCGAACGTGGGCATCGGAGGAAGAATTGAGGGGCGGCGGCCTGTCTTTTTTCCCTCTGAAGAGATCCACGAGGCACAAGCTGGAACGGAAAGCGCCATCTTGGTGACAAAAAGCAGTGAGTACTCCGGAATGTCCGAGGAAAGAGGAGAGCTGATGATTGCAGTTAAAAATGGACAATAATAAATAAAACTTGAAGCCTTTTAAGCTAACGAACTGATAAAAGAGATAAGACCGAAAGAAAGCTTAGAAGCGGCAAATCTTTTGAAGCACGGTCCTATCTTAATGAACTAGCCTAAAAGCGAAACTAACTCTGGTCGGACCGTGCCAAGGTCAGAAAAATAAGACTGTGCCTGGGAATTGCTGATGAACTAAATAATTGTGGACTGATCCTGTTTGACTGTGGCAAAGTACTTGACAGAACTTTTAATAACAGATCGAGTACCGAAGCTTTGAGACGACATGTTATCTCTGTGGGGGGAAAATTCCCCCCACCTCATACTTTGTTAAGTGGATTTACAATGTACAATC